GATTTGCCTCAATACCACGATGAGTCAATAGGAAACCGAGGAATTTTCCTGCTTGGACGCTAAAAGAGCACTTTGCGGGGTTCAATTTGAGCTGGTAGCGTGCTAGAGTGTTAAACGATTCTTGCAAGTCGGAAAAATGTTGACACACGCTAGGCGACTTGACGACCATGTCGTCGACGTATGCCTCCACATTCCTTCCTATCTGATCGGCCAACACCTTGTCCATAAGCCTCTGGTATGTCGCCCCCACGTTCTTCAAACCGAAAGGCATGACCTTGTAATAGTAGGTAGCTTGGTCGGTTATGAACGCTGTTTTATCTTCATCGGCGGAGTGCATCCTGATCTGATTGTACCCCGAGTATGCATCCATGAAGCTCAATAATTCATACCTTGATGCGTTGTCGACTAGGCAATCTATGTTGGGCAGCGGGTATGAATCTTTTGGACAAGCTTTGTTTAGGTCAGTGAAATCCGTGCACATCCTCCAGTTTCCATTGCTCTTTCGTACCATTACCACGTTCGCTAGCCACGTCGGGTACTGGATTTCCCAAATGTGACCAGCCACCAACAACTTCTTCTTCTCCTCAGCTATGGCTTTCTTCTTATCCTCTCCAAACTTTCGTCGTTTTTGAATCACCGGCTTCGCATTGGGGTCGACCATGAGACGATGACATAGGAAGTCGGGATCAATACCAGGCATGTCGTCGGCACTCCATGCGAAAGCCGATACGTTGCTCTTCAACACAGTGAGCAACCCTTCCTCGTCTTCTTTAGCCAAAGATATACCAATCTTGACCGTTTTGCCTTCGGCCAGGCTAACTTCCTTCACATCCTCCACCGGGGCTGGTCGGGAATCGAAGTGAATCATCCTCAGATCTAACTCGATCGATTGAACACCTCGATCAACCTACGTCACATATAGGTGTCTCCTAGCCCTCAAACTATCCTCATAGCATTTCCTCGCGACTTCTTGATCGACACAGAGGACCCCGACCTTTCTGCTAGGCAAAGGATACTTCAGCTTCAAGTGAGGTGTGGAGACGACTGCTCCCAACTTGTTCAGTGTGGGTCGGCCAACTAATATGCTGTAGGACGACTGGGCGTTCACCACCAGGTATCGGACAGTGATAGTCTTCATGTTGTCTCCCTTGCCAAAGGTTGTCTCCAAGTCGGTGTAACCCCTGGCCGTTACCTGATCACCCGCAAAACCAACTAATGTACCTACATATGGCATAAGACGATCAGTCGGAATTTTCATCCCGAAAAAAGCCTCCCAAAACATTATGTCTGCCGAGCTGCCTTGATCCACCAACACTCATTTCACATTGTAACCCATGACTATCGCCGAGACGACAATAGGGTCGTCCTCATGGGGGGACACACCCTCAAAGTCGGCGTCCGAGAACGTGATGGCTGGCCGAGCGGGCCTCGCCCACTTTGAGACCGATAACACCGACCGAGAGTATCTCTTCCGTGCTGCTGATGTTGGGCCTCCTCCAGCGAATCCCCCCGCTATGGTGTTGAAGTCTCCATGGAAAGCTTGCTGGTGAGTCTCTGTACTTTTTTCCGGAAGATCTCTCGAGGGAGACCTCCCTTCACGCCTTCCTCTTCTCGTGTCTTCTCCTTTACGCCTACGTCGCCTGTCGGACGAGCCCTCCTCCTTCTTCCCTGCAATGAACTTTTTCAAACGTCCCTCCTCGATAAGGCCCAGTCGGTTTTGTAGGGTCCCAACTGACGGTCAGTCGCCGCTGGGAACTCGAAAAGTGACGCGCTGTTGACGTCATGCAGTATGTGCCGCCTGGGAACGTCGAGTGGAGTAAACTTCTCTTCTTCCTTGTTGCGTATCCACTCGCCCCTTGGCCGACCAACATGATCGGCCTACCGGTAGTTGCCCTCTCTCGTGTTGTAATGATCACGTCTTTTACTCCAATCCGATCGTGGTCGGAGATGCTTGTTGCCCTCCTTATTGTTGCCTCCTGCTTCTTGGCTTTTCGCTGCTCTCTTGCTAATCTGCCCTTCCTCCGTCTTAATGTGACTCAACGCGAAGGCTCTCACCTCCGACATCGTCTGGCAATTTTCTCTTTCCAGGGCGATGTCGAAAGCTCCAGACCTCAGGCCCTTCTGGAATACGATGACAGCCATCCTTTCATCCAACGATGCTATCCTTAGGGCGACCTCGTTGAACCTTTGTAGGAAATCTTCAGGGACTCCTCACGCTGCTATTTGAGGTCGAACAGGTTCGATGTGATTGGCGGTTTCTTCTTGTTAGCAGCGAACTGTGCCATAAAAAGCCGACTGAAAACGTCAAAGTCGGTGATTGATCAGTCAGGGAGACCACTAAACCAATCGAGTGTTGCCTTTTTGAGTGTGCCCATGAATAGTTTGCAGCGGACTTCCATGCTCCCTCCGCAAATCAACATCTGAGGTGGGCGCCAAAATGTTCCGGCCAAAAGGTGCACTAGGGTTTTTTCCTAGATCCTGCCTCAAAGCTAGAGCATTCAAAAAGTGTAATCTGCCTACCTAGCCTTAGGGTTTTAGATTTTATACTTCCTTGTTCCTGGGCTTCATGGGCCCCGTGAAATGTGGGATCTTCTTAACCGTCGTCCTTTTGAAGATATTTGACGAACGTGAGAATTGTAGATAAAGTCTTAAACGGAATTTCCATGCCGAGGGGCTAGTCGGATTATGGCCGAGGGGGTCCTATTAGCTTGAGGTGTCGGCCGAGAGGGTCCTCTCGGCTTGAGGTGTCTGGATGGGGCCGAGTTGATTCATGCCGAAGTGATACTCTAGTCGGATTATGGCCGAGGGGGTCCTATTAGCTTGAGGTGTCGGCCGAGAGGGTCTTCTCGGCTTGAGGTGTCGGGATGGGGCCGAACTGATTCATGCCGAAGTGATACTCGGGCATTAACCGAGTGACCCATCAAGAGGGGGATCAATCGGGATCATAGTCGGCCTATCACCAGGGAGGGTGTGAGGTCGTGCTTCGACCGGGACTACACTCCATCAAAGGAAATCAGTCGGAGATTTGCCGAGACGGTACAGTAGCCATTGGCAATTTTTTTTAAGAAAAAAAAGAAAAATATCACTATAAATATTCATCAACTCAATTAAAAAATTTGGACCTCTTTAACTCTCTTCTACTTCTTTTATCTTGCTTGTTTTGCTCTCAAAAATGGATCCTAACCAATACAATCATCAAAAAATTTTAAATTCTTTCTAAAACCAACCACCAACGACAAATGCAAATTCTCAAATTTCTCTGCAATATGTTATGTATCCACTATCTTATTTTAGTGAAAATTCTCAAAATCCACTACCTTATTGGTCAGCACCACAATATTATATGTTTCCAACACATCCACCTAGTGGTGATAATTCTCAAGGACCACAATTTTTTAGTCAACCACCACCTCTCACCAACCCAAATGCATGTTATAGGCCTTCTCCTCTACACAATATTGACACTCCTAATAGTGAACCTGAATCACCAATTAGTCTGGATGGAATTAAACTAGATGGAAGTGCAGAAAATTCGTCAACAAAAAAATTTCTGTTCCATTCACAGTTCAAGAAGATATTATTCTCGTGAGGTCATGGGTCACTACGTCGAAGGATCCAATCATAGGAGTTGATCAAACGTTACGACAATGTTGGTCGAGAATCACAGAAGCATACAACAACAATGAAGACCGTGGCGAGTTCACAGAGAGAGAATCGACTCAACTAAAAGCACGTTGGAATCGAATTCATCCTGCAGTTCAAAAATTTATTGGTTGCTACAAATAAGCAATTAGTCAAAAGAAAAGTGGGAGTTCGGAGAAAGATGTCATGGCATTCGCACATAAGATTTACACTCAAGATACAGGTAAAAAATTTGATATGGAGCATGCGTGGGTCATTTTGAGAGATGAACCTAAATGGCAATCTCTGATTTCGTGCAACACAATTCAAAAAGAGGGAAGGTAACGTCTGCAGGTGGTTACTCTTCGTCTTCCAACACAGAGACACCTATTGAACTTGATGAATATGAGATACCAACGCCAACATCCTGTCCGATAGGACAAAAGGCAGCCAAAAGGAAGGCCAAAGGAAAAGAAACTCAATACTAATACTATTGATTTTTCTGGCATAGAAAATGCAATAAAGGAGAAAAATGCCTATGCATCAAGACTAATTGAGTTGAAGGAGGCACAAGAAAGACGTTTGGCATATGAAACCATAATGAAGGTTACTTCCAACATGAATGAGACTCAACGTGAGGCTCATGAGAAGTATTGTAACTATCTTAAACAACAATATGGGTTTTAATTTCTTTTAGGGTTTAGGGAAGTATTTGAGTTTTAATTTCTTTTATTATTGTAATTCAAATTTTGTTGTTATGAAATTAGTCGTTATAAAATTAGCCGTTGTAAAACTAGCCGTTGTAAAACTAGCCATTATAAAATTAGCTGTTGTAAAACTAGCCGTTGTAAAACTAGCTTTATAAAACTAGTCGTTGTAAAACTAGCCGTTATAAAACTAGTTGTTATAAAACTAGCCGTTGTAAAACTATTTATATGTAGACTTTGTCATCCAATCCTACTCATTCTCACATCTTCTCACACAAAATCCCCATCTATTCTTCTTCAATTTTTAGATTGATACGTGATGGATCGAAACAACAATTTAGCTGATTCAAACATCAATTTAGATGATCTTTTGGATCAATTCATAGATGAGGAACTACACGACAACACCGACGAAGAATTGATCCAGTTGACGAAGAATTAGTCGTTAATAAAAATTTTAATTTGGTTCATAAATGATTTGAAAATATATTTTAAAAGTTGAATTTCTGAAAGTTTCTTACCATTGGAGTAAATTTCTGTTTGAGTTGCTTAATGCTGACATGACACATTGAGAACCACTTTTCTCATTTTTCAATGTATGAAGTAACTCAAATGAGTTGATTCCATTAGAGATACCGTGAGATGCATCAAGAAAACACATGACCGAGAAGAAGAACGAGTGTATATATACCGAAAAGTCCAAAACACTTTCAAAATGAAAATAACGAATTGAATAGTAGTTTAGTGACATCAACATTTTTTTGCTTCGGTGCAAATAGCAATAAGATGTAACATTAAAAGTGCATGACCCGTGGAGCGAACCTGATGAGCCTCGTCAAGGAAGTGGGTAAGAATTTCCTCGCAAAAAGAAAACAAACATTTTTTTGATTTCCATTATAGTCACACATTTGGTTCCGTAAATTCTCCAAGAAGTCGACAGTAACCTCTGGTCTCACATACTTAGCTGGGTGTAGCCCTCCCTTTGACCAGTCAACCCAAGTCAAACTTCTATTCGAATTCTTCTCCCAAAACATGATGCTAACAAACGTGGGCAAGTAGTGTTCATCAGCATAACATGAAAATTTGCAGTACTCTTGAAACACTGGGAAGTAGGTTTTGTCTGACACAACTTCTAGAGCAAGGTCTCTGTCCATTTCAAACCACTGAGACCCTTTTCTCCATTGTTCGAGAGTGATCATTGGGGACATGTGGACGTTGTAACGTCCACGTCCAACAGGAGTATCCTCGTCATAAGCCATTACATAGCTTTGGGTGGAGTGAATAAGATAAGTGTAGATTGTTGAGAAGTTGAACAAAGGGATGCATGATTCTGATATGAGAACAAAGCGTTGGTTTGACAAATCAAGAAGCGCGTTGCCCAGAAGCCGACGCTCTGCCTCAATCATGTTGAATTTCCCCCATTCCACTATCTGCATTACATTTCCCACGTCAACATTAATGCTACACCAGATCTCTATTCAAAAATATAAATAAAATAAGTGAGCAGTTTTTTTTTTTTTTTTTCTTCTTTCTTTTAAGTGGCCAATTAATTTATATATACATATCTATACTAAGGAGGCATTTGTTTCCGGATTTTATATTGCATTTCTAGGAGTCATATTTTTCCTAATATGTAAAGGAAATTTTTTTTTTGATAATAACTTTTATCTTCACATTTATATATTATTATACTTTTTATTGTTAAAAATAAAATAAAAAATTAATAATTTTTTAATAACTATCATTCTCTTTTAATAATTATTTATCTATTATTTTTATTACTTAGTTAATTGTTTTTATTACTTAATAATCATAATTTTTATTTTTTTTATTTTTTTAAATAAAATATAGAAATACGAAGTATTTCAATTTAACTAATATTATAAAAGATATATACTTTTTATTCACTACTTTAATTTTTTTTAATTAATTTTCATTTTTTTTATACTTTACGATAACTAACTAATTAAAGACCACTACTTTTCTGTACAAAGTCATTTATTTTTTTCTACACAAAATATGTATGGAGACACTTACTAATAACAAAAAGGAATACTACTCCTTGGTGTTAAGGTTTTGTTTTCCAATTCTTTCATTTAATTTACTATCATAACAAAAAAACCGCAAATGACTAAAACAAACCTGCTTATTAAATAATTGTTAAAAAATAAATTATTATTTTCTTCAAGGCATGTAGTGTCCTATATCTTTAATAAATAAAATATTGATTTATTTATTAATAAAATGAGCAGTTAATTTTTTTCGTGTAAACATTTTTTTTTTATTTTATCTTTAATAAATATATTGATTGCAAAATATTGAAATATGATTAGAGAAATAAATGTTCAAAAAAAAGTGGTTTTGGTATTTTCTTTATATATTGAAACGATTAGATGGGATTATAAATCTACAACCCATTTTATAAATTTAAAATTTTAAACAACTATACCGTAATCAAACGTAAATTAAGAAACTAATTTACTAATTAAACTATCTAACAAAATTAAATTTTAGATCCTCGTTTCATTGCATTTTCTATTGTTTGATGCAATCTATTTTTAAAGGCCAATAAATTATATATTATATAAATTATAAATATAATTTATATATTCAGATATAATATTTATTTGGATATATAATTTATTATTATAAATTTTAGTTATATATAATAAATATTTAACATATGCTATAGATATAATAAAATGCTACTATAAAAAAAGTCAAAAAAGTTTAATAATTTTTTAATAACTATCATTCTCTTTTAATAATTATTTATCTATTATTTTTATTACTTAGTTAATTGTTTTTATTACTTAATAATCATAATTTTTATTTTTTTTATTTTTTTAAATAAAATATAGAAATACGAAGTATTTCAATTTAACTAATATTATAAAAGATATATACTTTTTATTCACTACTTTAATTTTTTTTAATTAATTTTCATTTTTTTTATACTTTACGATAACTAACTAATTAAAGACCACTACTTTTCTGTACAAAGTCATTTATTTTTTTCTACACAAAATATGTATGGAGACACTTACTAATAACAAAAAGGAATACTACTCCTTGGTGTTAAGGTTTTGTTTTCCAATTCTTTCATTTAATTTACTATCATAACAAAAAAACCGCAAATGACTAAAACAAACCTGCTTATTAAATAATTGTTAAAAAATAAATTATTATTTTCTTCAAGGCATGTAGTGTCCTATATCTTTAATAAATAAAATATTGATTTATTTATTAATAAAATGAGCAGTTAATTTTTTTCGTGTAAACATTTTTTTTTTATTTTATCTTTAATAAATATATTGATTGCAAAATATTGAAATATGATTAGAGAAATAAATGTTCAAAAAAAAGTGGTTTTGGTATTTTCTTTATATATTGAAACGATTAGATGGGATTATAAATCTACAACCCATTTTATAAATTTAAAATTTTAAACAACTATACCGTAATCAAACGTAAATTAAGAAACTAATTTACTAATTAAACTATCTAACAAAATTAAATTTTAGATCCTCGTTTCATTGCATTTTCTATTGTTTGATGCAATCTATTTTTAAAGGCCAATAAATTATATATTATATAAATTATAAATATAATTTATATATTCAGATATAATATTTATTTGGATATATAATTTATTATTATAAATTTTAGTTATATATAATAAATATTTAACATATGCTATAGATATAATAAAATGCTACTATAAAAAAAGTCAAAAAAGTTTAATAATTTTTTAATAACTATCATTCTCTTTTAATAATTATTTATCTATTATTTTTATTAATTAATCAATTTTTTTTATTACTTA